TCTTCCATTGTACAAAGCCGAGCAGAGCAAACTAAAAATTATGTTTAATAATGCAAGATCTCTTCACAAACATTTCAATGAAATTCAAAATGAACCCAATGTTGTAGCCTCAGATGTTATTGGTTTTTCAGAAACAAGATTAACCATCAATGATGAACAGAATTTTATGATGGAAAGTTACTTTACTTTGTTTAATCATGAAGAGAGAAGTGACAGAAATCGTCCTCATCATGGAACAGCATTATATGTTAAAAAGGACCATTTGATGACATGTATCTCAAAATTCAGCAACACTTTGCTCGAGTTCATCATAGCTTTAGTTAATTTCAGAGACTTTGGAGAAGTGCAGATAGTTGTTTTCTACAAGTTCCCAGCATGTTCTTTTAAAGAATTTGAACGTGAAATTATGTTGCACTTAAAACCTTTTGTAGACACAGAGAAAAAATTGATAATTCTTGGAGATTTCAATTTTGATTTGTTTACAGGTCACAAAGAATTTCTGAACTTTATGAAGTTGAATTTAAAATGCACACAATTGGTAAAAAAGGTAACTCATGATTTAGGTTCACAACTTGATTTGATTTTCACAAACTTCCCTCACAGTGAAACTGATGTAATTGAGGCATATTGGTCAGACCATAAAATGGTGTACTGTACATTATAAATCTGATATAAGGGACGCATGAGTACTTATTTGGGGGAGATACGTCTTCTTGTCCCCTCTCCCACCTACCATTGTGCCAGTGTCACTTTGTGACATTTGGTACATTGGTTACTGTATACAGGGTAATATTCGCCCTGTGTTATTTTCATCCTTTCGCACAATTTTGCAACATTTTAAAATCACCCAGTCACAATTTTGTTGAAAAAATCAACTGTGTTCTTTTAATTTTCCCCGTTTTAAATATGTCTACTTCTAAGATGGATGACGGGCAAAAGTATAAGGGGGAGGGGGGGGGGCGAATATTTCCCTGTATACAGTATCTTATAGGCACCAATTACTTGATGTAAAATTTTGTTTGTTTTTACACATATGTATACTTAAAACTATATTTATGTGCATGGAATAGCCCAAAAAAAAAAAACTCATTAATGATTACAAAACAATTGGACTTTAAAAGTTTTGTGAAACAGTAAACCTTCATTGTGACTTTTATTGTTGATAAATTTTCAACAGACAATTAATAAATGTATGAAATAATTGAATGTTGCATGTTAAGGAAAATTCCTGTACATCAGTGACAATCATTCATGTAAAATAAATGATGATCATTGTATTATTTGTTAAAGTTTATATATTATATATGTATATACTGTATTGATGTTTGAGTTAGACTTTTAGCCTTACTGTTTAAATTCTTTTTAATGATGCATGAACATCATGAACTTGGTTTTTTCAAAATACCCAGAACATGAAATATTTTGAGATTACATGAATTGTTAATGGAGGCGAGTATATAAAGTTTGATATATTAATTAAAAGAAATTAATAAGTTCTGCTAAATAATGATTTGAGTTGTTCTAGAAATATACACTTGCATCAAGTAATTGGTGTCTTTAATATAAGTTCAATGCTGTATTTTATTATAGTTTTATAAAGTGTATTCACCAGATATCATCTGTTCATAAAAAAAATTTCTGTATAGAAATATTGTTAGTTTATTAATGTTACTTTGTCTTGTGACATTTAGTCCATACAGAACAATACTTGAGTACATGAGAGTATAAACTTTAACAGTGTATATGAATTAATATTTTCCCAGAACAAATGCAATAACAATATCACTGTCAATATTCTTATCATGAATGTAATTCAAGTCTTTATGTAATTACTTTATAATCAACCTTATGCAGTATTGTAGATGTTACAATTGCTGAGGTTTTAAACAGGCTGGGTGGTCAACAAATTAACCGATAGATGCACCTGTTTTGAAATAATGTTCATTGTATATATGAAACTTTGTGGTGAAATATTTTGACTTGATTATTTATCTTTTTTTGCTTTCTTGTGTTAAAATGTTTAAGTTGATTGTATTTTTGTATTTCAAAACATTCAGAAATTGCTTTAAACATGTTAAACATTTACTTTTACTTACACTTTAGTTACTTAAGTAGAATAGGAAAGCAACCTGCATAATCAGACAGTAACTGACAATTCATTCTGAGTTACTGGTATATTGCTAATTTCAGTTAACTCCATGTTATTTTTTCCTTAAATATTCTCCAGCATTGAGATATTTAATTTGTGACCACCATTAATATTATAACCTAATGAGAATGAATTTATATATTAAAAACTTATACCCAGGTAAGTATGAAAAGAGGGGGTCAATGGACAGCCCGTAAAGGGAGGTAAACCTACCTCTTTATAAAATTACAGTTTCTCCTATAAAGGAGAGGAAAAAAAGGTGGATCACTATAATTTCTCATGACTGGTCTTAAAAAACAAAATTATTGATTGCAAAAAGATCTTAATTACATATGTGTATTCCATTTTGGAATATTACCTAAAAGTTTAGGAAATCTGATTCATGCAGGTACTCCAAATAAATGTTACTCGTTAAAAATTCTTTAAAATTCAAAGTCAGAGTCTGTTGACCATCAAACATGTATTCATTCACTTCCAGTTGCAATCTTTCCAAGTTTCGCTTTCGTTATGTATAGGAAAGATTTACTATTAAGTGAACTTTAATAAATACAGTGTATTTTGTATCTTTCAAATGATTACTTTGATGTATTGAAATTTCCTGTAAAAAATGTTATGCATTTCTGTCACAAATTTTTGCAATATTACATATTTGATATTGTGTGTATATTTGTTTGTTGAATTCATCTAAAATTTAGATAGTTGGTTGTTATTAATGCCTCTTAGTTTTTATCATACTGTATTATCTACTTATTGTCTGATAAATTTTTAGCAAGTCTGTTGAATTTTGTTAATAAATAAAACTAAAATCTTATTCACATTTTCTGTTTTTATTATATAACTATCATAGCTAATTTACACCCCCCCCTAAAAAAAAGAAAAGAAAAAAAGATTTTTCATGGGCAAAGAAATCTTCATGTCTCCCTCACTATTATGCAATAGTTTTATAATGTTAGCATATTAGACTTAAGAGTTGACAGTACAAGTGCTATATTTTGCAGAAATACTGATATTGACCTCTTTATGACTAAATTGATAATGAGGTAGGCATTAAGCAGTGATTGAAAAGAAAGTCTGATCCTTAGCAATTTTATACTCATATCAAGCCCAATTACAGTGAATAGATAGAGGAAGTTCTTACTCTAACATCTACATGCATAATTCTTGCAAGTATTAAAGGATTTTCACTCAGGTGAGCGATGTGGCCCCTGGGCCTCTTGTTATTTAATTATATCTGTAGACTTTAATTGACCCAGTGATATATTCAAAGGGTTCAAAAATCACAGAGATTGTGGCGGAACAGATTTAGCTGTAGGCTCCTAAATTAAAAAATTTAGGAGCCCACGTGGCTAGTGGAAATTTTAGTTAAGTTGAAACCATGCATGTATGTAGAAAATGTGAAATAAGCAAAACAACAAAGAAAACAATAACTTACATATATTTTATATATTCATGTTAAAGAAATGATATGAAATAAAAGCAACAGTCTGCTTTTTATATACCAAACTATGACATCCGATTATAAGGCCATAATAAATGAATTGCTAGATTCTCATCCGAATTTTTTTAAAAATCGAGGCGGGTGAGTGGCTTTTATTTTATATTTTTTATTTTTTTCAATTTTGCAGATTTTTTAATGACCTGGTCAATCAGTGTAATTTTATCTACAATACCCAAGTAAAAGTCATAGTAAAGGTTCAATTATCTCTTACTTCACATAATCACCAATCTTTTTCAACCAGTGACCCTTGTTTAAAATATATATGCATGTATTACAGCAATTACCATCTTTGCAGCTGTCAAAATCATGTCGACTTTCTCGGGATTTAAAACAAAAGTAGAATGGTAGATGAATACCGATCCCGATCACAATTAAGACGAAGAAAAACAGAAATAATAAAAATCAAGGTGGGGGTATAAAAATCGGGGCGGGCGGGGATGAGAATCACGGAATATTTTTATTATGGCCTAATCGGTAAAATCGCATCAGAAGCAGTAACCGATTCCAACCTATGATCGATTGTGAAAATTAACCGATGTCCCATCACTAGTTACCCCTCCCCAAGTGAATGAAGAGTATGGATAATTTACCATAAATCATGTTTGCAATGCTTATTCTGTACTTTCTTCAGAAGGTCCATAGGACCACTTTTTCTGTAAAGTTCATGGTACCCATGTATTATTTGATCTTTTTCTATACCATTGGATAAAATTAAATAAGACTTTCATGGAATCTTTATTATAGTACCCTTGTGCACTTCTTATTTTGACGTTTTGATATGAAAGATATTTGAGATTGCCTGTAGTAAAATATAAACACTACCACTCTATCTAGAGCATGATTAGAGAACATTTTTTATCCCCAAATACTCATAGCACAGAATTGATTTTAAGGAGACTATCTTAGAATCTTCATTATGTAGTTCAGTTGTACACCCTTTTTTGTTTCAATCAGACACATATGTGAGACTTCTCATAGGAAATCATAGACAATTCCATTCTTTCATAACTTTTGATTAAAATTTGAGGAAACTTTAATAGAATCTTAATTTCTTAGTGCCAGTACTGTCGATCTCTACATTTTTGCGACATCTTATTTTTGCAAGATAGTCATTTACTCTTTATTAGCGAAACAAAATTTTCATGAATTGTGGGTATTCTGCAAAAATAAAATTCTCCCAAATAAAAAGTGATTTACAGTAATATAATCGGACAGATATTTGGTTAAAAATAAATCATTGGAAAATGTTGCACAAAATATTTGATTCAGGAATTTTGTTTTTCGAAATATAAAACCAGTATTTGAAAGAATAGCAGAAACATTCTTACATAAAAAATTGAATTTAATTTTCAGAGAAGGATCAGCTGTGTTATAGCTGTCACTTCAGGAGGGAGTCCTTACCCCCCAGTACCAGTCCCCTGTATGAAGTGGTCAGTTTGTCAGGGTTCCAGCACTGGAGCAGGGATAAATGTACGTCATCACACTCATTCACACAGAAATACTGCATTATCTGTCACTCAAATTTCCACTGTAAAAATTGTTTTCACAAAGTTTAGTTTGCTTGTTTGAAGGAATTTTGTAGGAAAATAAATTCTATCAAAAAGCATGTTCACACTGTCAAGGGTAAAACTTGGTTATAACGAAATCACTGAGACTTATAAAATTACTTTGCTATATCAGTAATTCATTATATCTGTGGAAAGAAATTCGTTAAATTTATATTGCTGGGGATCAGAAATGATTTTGCTAAATGCACGAATTCACAATATCCGTGTTCGTACTAAACGAGTTTTACAGTACATGTATTTCATTTTTTTTTAATAGCCATTCTCTGTAACCACTTAAACTTTGTTGCCACGCATGGTCACCGATTTTGATGAAACTTCACCCATGCTTAGTACTTGACACCAAAAACAAATATCAAACAAAATTTCGTTGCTATGTGTCCCGGTTGCTATGGCAACAGCCGGAAAAGTTTGAAAAATCGAGATTTTCAGCCACTTTAAATCTTGACTATGGCTCAATAAAAACTAGAAAAAGCAAACAAACCATTCTCACAAAAACATGACACCTTGATGTCACTTATACTGTTAAGAAACTGTTTAGAATATATCTCTAAGTAAGTGGTAACCAAGGATGCATTTGGAATACATTTAAAATGCTGAAATATTCTGAAAAACACTCCGTATTCAATAATGGTAGGTGTTACATGCTCAAACTCAATCAACGACTTAAGAAAAACAATGAAAATGTTTGACTTTAAGTATATAAGTATAAGCAATATTATTCTATAAATAACTTTTATGGTTGCTATGGTAACATAGTGTAACCATGCAAAACCTGTAACTAAGATTGGGTTAATGCTACTGTCTTGAGGAAAAACATGAAAATTCAAGACTGGCAAATATGCATCCTTAGGACCTTGCAACACCAAAACCATCAGAAAAATTGGGTATAATTGCTACTTTGCAGTGTTACCATGGAAACAAAGTACCAGTGCTTAAAAGTGAAGTATTTTTCTCTGCATTAAGAATTAAATTGCCATTTAATCAAGAAACAAATTAAAGGACTAAGCTTGAATAGTACTTATCTGTTACAACTGAAGTTGAATATCATATATTGATAAAATTTGATGAAGAAAACAACACTGTTGCTATGGTTACCAAGGAGGGAAAATGTTCGATTTTGTGAACTTTATATCAATATTAAACCCTGTGTGCCAACTTCTTGCATCCACTTAGAGATTGGATGATAGTCAAAATTAAAAGTCAGGTTAGCTGTTGATAAATATCAATCATAAAAGTTTTGGGAATCTACATTTAAGGGTACGTATCCAAGGAAAGAAAATATTTTTCAGGTTTTTAAGCATATATTTTCTGCTTATTTCCATAGCAACGCTCTATTTACAGAATCTAATCTGAATTTTTTCAAATTGGAAACTAGGAGCACACCAACATCTTTAAAAATTGATCATTAGTTATGAGGAAATGTGCTTTTTTTAAAGATAGGATCAGATTTAAACATACAAAATGTTACTTTGAAGGCTCTCTGTGGTATAAAAACCTTGGCAACCATTGCCAACCAAAATGAAATATCATGTTTTGTTCTTGGTATATGTTTCAAGGCTCTTTTTTCTATTATTTGGTCACATTTCATCCTATAATTGCTTTTTATTTTTACGTGTATGACTTAATAAAATTCAATGAATATTTTTTTTTACTTTTGAATACTTTGTTACCATTGTAACGTATGTAATTATTGTAATAGTTGATTTACCAAACATGTTTATCATGCTTTTGAGACATCTGACCTTCAACTTTTGGAAACAGTCATTGCCAATTGTTTGCTTTGCCGCAAATGTTAACTATGGGGCTCTAAACATGTTAAAAAATGCCATTTTTCGTACTTTAAGACATGTTGCCATGGTAACTATAAAACATAACAACCGATTTTTGCCTGATTTCAGATTAGGGTATCAATGACTTTTATCATAGAGAGTTTGGAGAAATTCTGAGACTATGCGTGCCACAGCTCCTATATAAAATTTCAAATCATTACAGAGAATGGCTCTTAAAAACTATTCTGTGTATGTTTTCAGTGAGCAGTGTGGAGGAGGAATGTTCCCAGTACGGACAGACCGGACCAAAAGAGAACAGCTGTTTCTGTTGTACCGTGAGACTACACAACTCGCAGTTTATACGGGAAATGTCTCTAGTGGACGAATCTAAAACAGAATTCACTTCACGACACAGCCTTGAATGGAAGTTTTTATTCCTGGATCACAGGTATCTATATACAATAGGGTAGAATTAAATGTATTATCTCATAGAAACTCTGAAATGTATCAAATATTGTTAATTAACTACCTCTGCTGAATCTTGTGCAAAGATTTTACTCTTCTAAAATTCTGAAAATAAAAATATTAAGTATTCTTCTTATGCTTTTTTATGCCTAAAGATCTAAGGTCATGAACAAAAAGTGGTGTTTTAGAAGTCCTTTCCTGCTATAGCATGATATCATATATGGCCTTTATAACTAATTAGAAATTATAAAGGCCATATCTTGAAAATAAGAAGGTGGAGACAGTTTGCTGAAGTTCAAGATTCATATGGAGTTAATGTCATACAGTAAAACTTGTTTAGTACGAACAAGGATATTACGAATTCAGGGATATAGCGAAGTCATCTTGGATCCCCAGCTATATAAATTTAAAGAACTTGAACGATATAACAAACTAGTGCTATTTGTAACGGGGACCGTTACAGATGTTCCCCAAACGCTCCCCAACTTCCTTTTTGTGCCACATTCCCTGTAAGCTTCAATAAATAAGACAAACTCTATGCATTTGAGGCTTTAACAACATTTACCCAGGAGAAAGTACCAAGTTCATTCAAATTTTAGAATTCCACGCGTGCGCATGTGAATGCATGTGCGTAATGACCATATCATCTTGTCTATACAATCTTAATATTTTATATACTAAATATTAAAGTAATTAATCCAAAAGTATTAAAAAAATACTCTCATTAAACTGTATTTTTCATTTTACTCATTTCACGTGGAAGCACGTGCATACATGAGCATAATGACCATACCTTCTTGTAGAAGTCCATTACATCTATCTATGTTCTAAATCCCACACCGTTTGGTTGAAAACCAAGGGAGTTATAGCTGTTTAAAGTTTCAGCCAATCAGATTGCAGTGCACGTACACGCACGTGTATGCATGTGCATGATGACCATACCATCTTGTAGAAGTCTATTATATCTATCTATGTTCCAAATCCCATCCTGTTTGGTTGAAAACCAAGGGAGTTATAGCTATTTAAAGCATAAGCCAATCAGAATGCAGCGCATGTGCATGCACGGTTTTTCATGATAATTGCTATATATTTTATTGTAGGATATCCTAATACATGCCTATGTTTAAAATTTCAAAGGATTTCGTCAAAAAACAAGAAAGATATTGAGACTTTAGTTTCAGCCAATCAGAGCGAAGCGCACGTGCATGCGCGTGAGATCTTGCTTTTTTGACCATGTCATCTTGTCTATGCTTCTAATATATTCTTATAATATGAGTTTCAAAGCATTTCACCAATAATTTAAATAGTTACGTCTGAATCAATTATGTTGGACATTTCTCATGTTGCACGTGCGAGCTCTTGCAAGCACACGTGCATGCACATGCTTTCATGACAATTCTTATATTACAGGCTGTAGATCTCCCTAATGTTTAACTATGTTCAAAATTTCAAATGATTTTATCAAAAAACAAGAAAGATATAGAGACTTTAGTTTCAGCCAATCAGAGCAAAGCGCACGTGCAAGCGCGTGCAATCTTGCTATTTTGACCATGTCATCTTGTGCATACTACTAATATATCCTTACATTATGAGTTTCAAAACATTTTGTTAAAAAATAGAAAAGTTACGGTTTTATCCATTATATATTGGTCATTTCAAGTTTTGCACGTGCGCGCTCTTGCAAGCACGTGCGCGCAAAATGACCTTGATTCCGCAAATCTACATAACATGTCTACTGACCCTAAAAACATTTCACCTAAATCGGATGTGTAGTTTACAAGATCATTCGCGGACAAAATTTTCCCGAGAAGAAAAATAATAATAATAATAAGAAACAGAGTAAAAACAATATGTTCCCCAACTTCGTTTGGGGAACATAATTAGGGATATAGCGAAGTAATTTCATAAGTCCCAGTGACTTTGATATAACCAAGTTTTACTGTATTTAGACCTGAAAATAAATCTTTAGAACTGTATCACTGCTACAGACAAATCACCCATGAAAATCATGCAGAAGGATGATTTGATTCTGAAATAAATTAATTTTATTTTTTTACTTTTCAGAGCATCTCCGATAATTGGATATCTACCATTTGAAGTTTTAGGGACATCTGGATATGATTATTATCACCCGGATGACCTTGAACAGATTGCTAAATCACATGAGCAGTGTAAGTTTTAAATATATCTACATTGATGAATAATATGTTCCTTTATTTAACCCAAGTATCCTATCGTAATTTTATTTGCTAAAAAAGTTTACAGGCTTTAAATGAAAAAAAATATAATACAGACCCAAAATCACTTTGATATATCCTTAAATTTGTTATAACAGAATTTGTATAACTTTTTCTGTGAATTCATCAGATCTGTTCATATTGAATGCGTTTCACTTTATTGACTGATTTTATTTTGTTTTATGTCTCATGCAAAAATATTTCACTTGCATAGAGATGTCACCATATTTCGGGGAAGGGCGTCAAATTTTGACCTTTACTTGGCACCAACTGCCATTGAGCAGTGAGGGATCTTATGCTTTGTTGAAGAGAACTTACTTTGAAGTACACCTCAAAAAACATATCATCTGGACCAGTCAGCAACAAAATTAGTGTCCATTTGATTATACCGGTAAATAGAGATGTGACCCACTGATTTGTGTACTTTGACTAGCTTGGGTAATGTTGTATGTCTGCGTACATTATATATATGCCTTAGATAGAGATCAGTCTGTTCTAGACTGACTTTGTGGTGTACCACTGTCTGATTTATACATATTTTATCTACATTGAACTACCAACCGCTCATAAACTGGTGGGATACTCAATGTGGTTAGGTTAAACCTAAACTTTATGTGTATAGATTATAAATCAGTGATAGTAGGCAAGATCAATTGTTCTGAAATTGATATACTCATTGATTGTCATAGATATAGACATTAGATGTTATAGATAATTCTTCTCTTACAATCATGATATGATAGGAGTCTTTGAAACATATATAAGTGAAAAGAAACACATAGGAATGGATATTCATGTACTAGGTTCTTTCAGTTTCTTTTCATGATGATGATGATGATTGAACATTTACTTCCCACCCATTCCCCAACAAAAACAAGATGTGTTTTTTAAATACTGTTGCCCCCATACTGCAGCTAATAGGGTTGAAGTTTCTCAAATGCAAGTCAAACTCCAAGGTCAAGGTCAAAAGGTCAAGACTGTTTGTATCCAAAGGAAGGTCTTGTCACAAGGAATATACAAGTGAAATATGAAACCCTAGTACTACATGTTACTGTTTAAAAGTTATGACCAAGGTTAAAGTTTTTAAAAAGTGAGTCAAACTCTAAGTTCAAGGTCAATTTAAAGGTAAAAAATGTTATACCTTTTGAAAGGTCGTGTTACAATAAATACTAATATGAAGCATGAAATCCTCAGCACCAACTGTTCAAAAGTTATGAGCAATGTTAAAGATTGAAAATTTTTGGTAAAAGCGGTTCAAACTCCAAGGTCAGGAGGTCAATTCATGAATGTTACAGAATAACCTCCTCAGTTGAGAAATGCTGTTTGAAAAATAAAAGCTGAGGCTCTACAGAGAAACAAATTAGGTCACTATGCCGTGTTATGCTGTTCCATTTGACACAAGATGAAAAATTTGTTTGCTTACCTGTGTATGGAATGCAGACGAGTTGAGCTTTCGTTGCATTAAAAACAGCCTTTTATTAATTACAAATTTGTTCATTACATATATTGATTAATTTTAATGAATTTACAATAACAGATTCATTTTTGTCTCGCCTGCGACGAATGTCGCGAAGCGAGACATAGCGACCATAGATTCCGTCGTCGTCGTCGTCGTCGGCGTCCAACTTTTGGTTAACCCAAATGTCAAAGTTTTATAAACTGCAATAACTTTCTCAAATTTTATTCAGTCTTCTTGAAATTTGGACACAATATTCAGTATGGATAAAAATTTATATCCCAAGTATGATTTTGAAAAAAAAAATTCAAATTTTCCCGTATTTTTTCCTTAAGTTGGACTTAGTTTTTTCATGATAATTTATGGTGAAGACCTATATTCCAGCAACTATAAGTTATAGGGATATGATAATTAGTCAGTGGATACATCATGGGTAACCACAAACGTCAGTACCAGAATTAGGTCATCTTGACCTACATTTTTCTGCATGAGTGACTTTGGTTAAATTTTTGGTGGAGGTCCATATCTCAGCATCTATAACTTATAATGGCATGATGATTTGTCATTGTACAGGTTATAAGTAACCAACAACATCAGTACCAGAATTAGGTCATTTTGACCTACATTTTTCTGCATGAATGACTTTGGTTAAATTGATAATGGAGGTTCATATTTCAGCAACTATAACTTATAGTGGCATGATAGTTAGTCAGTGGATACATCATGGGTAACCACAAACGCCTGTACCAGAATTAGGTCATCTTGACCTACATTTTTCCGCATGAGTGACTTTGCATAAATTTATGGTGGAGGTCCATATCTCAGCAACTATAACTTATAGTGGCATGATAATTTGTCAGTGGATACATCATGGGTAACCACAAACGCCTGTACCAGAATTAGGTCATCTTGACCTACATTTTTCCGCATGAGTGACTTTGCATAAATTTATGGTGGAGGTCCATATCTCAGCAACTATAACTTATAGTGGCATGATAATTTGTCAGTCTACACATCATGGGTAACCAACAATATCAGTACCATAATTAGGTAATCTTCACCTACATTTTCTGCATGAATGACTTGATACATATACAGTGGATTTGATTTCAAAATGCAAGTTCAAATTATTGCGACTCATAACACGTTGCAATATTCGCAATAATAAAAACATCACAATAATTTGTGAATTTACAGGGTATATGTATATATATATAAATGCCAATATAATCGCCAAGGGATTAGATATTAAGTCAGCTGTTCCATTTCTTTATTATTGTATTTTTGAGTTATTCCTTCTGAAATGTCAATAAATGCTTCAGTTTATCAGACAATCATTTCTTACTAACCACAGCGACAGCAGGCGAGACACAGGGTTGCGGGCAACCCTTACGTACTTTTTCTATTTTATTGCTTTAATTAGGACTATAATCACATTGTTTAAATTGTGTAGGGAGGTCCGTGGAACAGTCCCTCTTAGCTATAAAGACAGACTTTCATCAGCAACTTTATGCAATTTACAGTGTTTAGACTGCGAAAGACGACACATTGATGTGATCGAAACAAGTATTTCGTTGTACAGTCAAATATGCATTTGAACTGTACAGGTTTGATACGTGTTTCTGATCTGATAATTTTTCGATGACGGTTGTAATTTATTGGAGAATGATTTCTGCGGCATCTCTTTGATCTCTGCAATAATCGTGGTAGAATATACCATAATGTAACCAAAACATTATGTATCACCAATGTCACTGATGTATTGTGTTTTGTAATGTCCATTACATGACTGATATATCATGTATCACCATTGATTCACTGGTGTATATTATCAGTAATCACTGACGTATATTTTTAGTCACTGATATATCATGTATCACCATTGACTCACTGACATATATTGTATATTTGACAGTAATGCAGACAGGGGAGGGATCGTCCGCTCACTACCGTTTTCTGACAAAGGGACAGCAGTGGATCTGGATAAAAACAAGATATTACATTACATATCATCAGTGGAATTCCAAGCCAGAATTTATTGTTTGTACCAATGTGGTTGTAGGGTAAGGGACTAAAGATTTCTCTTAAAGTAACAAATAGAGAATCTTTTTTTTTTTTTTTTTTTCGCTATAAGGCCTAAAATCATCAAACTATGTCAGCTGATCATCTTGGTTAGAGGGTTTGTCAGCTTTAAAAAGCAACTTGTGACTTTGACCTTTAATAAGCCAAAAATTGCAAAATCTTACCCAACTGGTAACTTTTTAGGGAGAATATATGAGAACTGGAAAATATTAATCACTATATCTCTTATTTCATTAATTAAATGTTTTAAAGATAAAGATTTCAACTTAAAAAAAGATTAAAGATAATATCTCATTTTATCTCATTCATTTAGAACTCACAAAATACATGTGGACTTTTTAGAAGTGTTTTCAGAGAGCATTTGATTGATGACAAATACTGTCTTTTAGTTATGCTGATGTCAGGGAACAAGTTCTGAAGGACTTGGGTATTGATTCTAAGTCTGACAATCTGGAGTCCTCCTTCCAAGTCCAGCGAAGTCCCTCTGTATGTTCTGTGACCTCAGGTGGGAGGTCACGGTCCAACTGGTCCTCTTCACACTCCATTGATTCTGCCAGCACTGATCAGCATGTCAGTGGTAAGTGTGTATTAGACGTCGTGACCCAACAACACCTCGGCCTGTCATGCTTGACACCTCAGCCGTGACAGGTTGGCCAAAAACGGCCAATATAAGAGACACCTTGGTCCAACCAAAATTTTTTGATAGAAAAAAGTATCCCCGAAGTCTGAAATGATCATTCTTTATGACAACTCAAGACCATTTTTTTGTAAAAAAAATATGTATGTTTGTTTGCCCTCTTCCGTGACCAACTGGCCAAAAATGGTTAGATTCAAATCTTGTTTAAACCTTCAGAAACCGATAATTTTTTGTTCATTCTGGAATTTTATATTTCCCCTTAACATCAATTTTAATTGAATTTCAACAGATTTTTGAAAATTCAGCATTGATGTTGATGAATTCTCACTGAGGGATTCAATATAGGATTGATTTTGAAATCTATTTATAGTCCAATGTGAAAGAAAGAAAAAAATTAATTTTATTTTCACCTGGAAGGAAACATGCAGGAGAACATGACGAATACAAAGTATTCTTCTAAAAATGTCAGATCTTGGCCAATCAGAGAGATGGGAATTATTCAATCATATGATAATCACATTTAACATTTAAAATAATTTTTTTTATACTTTTACGTAGGACTGACTTCATAAAAAGGAAATATAAAACTGTAGTATTTAGTTAAAAAAAAATGAATTCCAAATAATATTTCTTTATATGATAACCGTTGTGTAATAAAGGAAAGCTGATTATTTTATCACAAATGAAACTATCAGTTTACGTCTTGTTCACTTCACACATTAGTAAAAATTTGATCAAATTACCATATTAGACACTTCTAGGTATTTTGAACCTTTGTGATTTGATCTTGTCTCTTTTGTTATTAGTGTCCTAATTTCCATGCACCTGACTGTGTATTCTAGTTACTCCGATTTAGTACATTGTACATGTATTATTATGCCCCCCCCCTTTCAAGGAGGGAGGGCATATTGCTTTGCTGCTGCTGACGGTCTATCTGTCTGTCTGTCTGTCAGTCTACCATCGGTTTCTGTTTATTTTCTCCTCAGAGGTTGCATATCTTGAAATGAAATCTGATATACAGAATACAGATTTATCATAAGAATAAATAGGTCTATTTCTGTCTTGAGTACAAATTGACCATTTTTGAAAGAGTTATGCCCCTTAGAAAAATTTCAATTATTTTCAGTTTCTGTTCATTTTCTTTGCAGAGGTTGCACATATTGAAATGAAATTTAGTATAAAGATGTATCATAAAAATATCTAAGTCAGGTTTTGTTTTGGGTATGCAAAGCCATCAAGGTACAAGCAATTAAGTAAACAATGATTTTAAAATGAACTGTTAGAATAATTTTGTTATGCCCCTTGGATTTAGAAAAATTCCAATTATTTGCATAACAATGATTTTAAACTGAATTTATTTCATTTTCAATATATGCAGACCCAGGTACATGCATACACATATGCATGTAAATGAAATATTTTGTTTTAGCGAAATTGTACATAAAAAAATTACTTGAAGTATTTTCAAATTTAGAGATATGTTTATATATACATGTACATGTAATAATAAGAATAGAAACGCTAAATGGCAGAGATTAGGACCATTTTTTGAAAGAGTTATGCCCCTTGGATTTATCAATTATTTGAAAATCTAAAGAGATTTATCATCTAGGTCTTCTGTTTTGGGTATGATCGAGCCATTTTGGACCGAGTCATGCCCCTTAGACTTAGAAAAATTCCAATTATTTGGGGAGGGGGGCATAAGTGTTTTACAAACATCTCTTGTTCAGTTTGATTTGTACATTACCACATATCATGTTTAATCTCCTGTATTTATCAAGTTTACCATAGAGGTATAGTTTTATAGGCTAGCAAGGGAAAACAATTATGTTACTGTTCAATGTGTTTTAAAATTAAAACCCCTTCTTTCTTGTAAATTTTAATTTATTTAAATGAATATGACATAATGTAATTGTTAATTGTGGTACCTGGTATATTTTGGCTAGCTTCTCTGTGGTATTTGACAGGGAACCAGATGTCTGATAAAGAGAGTGTAGAAGAACTGCCCTCTCACATCACCAAAGATTCCTCTTTGTCACAACACAAGCACATCCAGCTTCTTCTCCAACAGAGGTACCTCAACCAGGCGACAGCTAATGACCCCAAACAGCTGTCCAGATACACAGAACCCGCCACTGCTGCTGCCCAGAATCTGTTACACGTCAACCCAGAGAGACTGGTAAGAAGCCAACTCAGAAATGGGGGGGGGTCTTTACTGTACCATCCTTTGTTATTCAAGGATATTTGTCCAATTTTATCCCTTAATCCTGCTGTCCACATTCAGAAATTTAAATTCTAGTCAAATTTTCAAAGCACAAGAGCAGAGGGATTAAGTAAGGATATATATACTGTGATGTTAAAAAAAATCTGTGGTTATTGTCATCAGAAGTTCCCTGCCTTAAATAGTATACAAGTAATGGATATGTTTGTTAAAGTTAGGAAGCAGGAATATTTAAGTACCAAAGGGGGCAATCGGAACACAATTTCGTGAACAGATTTTCACTGTGTTACAGTGTATTAAATGAATAAGATGCGAAATTTTTTCAAAGATTGCTTAATTCTGTAACCATAATTTTTTCATGGGATCATAATTCCACAGAATTTGCAGTGGCAAATTACATAATTTTTTTGGTTTGCATTTATATGTATTTAATGCACTTTATGTATGCAGTGACATATTTTTATTTAAAAAATTCACAACTGTATTCATGGTGTCAAGTTACATGTATCTCACACAGAAAAAAAGTACCTCTACAGTATATGAAAATACATCCCACCCAATCCATGACATTAAGTATAATAATTCGATGAAGAAATGATCACTTTCTGTTTCTTTGACAGTTTGGTCCAGATTTCTTAATTTTGGTGAAATTAATGAAAGTTTACTTTATTTACAGGCAATGGTATCAAACAGAAATGGAGCAGATAGTGTTTCCTCAACTTCGCACATTCCCACAATGCATCACGGTTCACAACTTCCTGTTATCGATGGTCAAAAATCTCCGGTATATTACCTAATTAAGAAAAAAAATCTTTTCAGTTTTACGAGCATAAAATCTACTGTTTGATGAAATTTGTCAGTTTTAGATTTGATATTTTATAAACTTACATATATACTTGTATAGGATGAAAATTTCAGAAGAAAAGGAGTATTTATAAATCTAATTAAAAATATTTGAATATTCTTTTTTCCAACTTGTAACTTTTGGAATATTAGCTTTGATAGATGGCTTTTTATCATATGTTAATTGTCACTTCTGACATAAGAAATATTAATTTGAATTGTTAGTACTTGTAAATATGTATAATTCTTTTTTTTATTTATGTGAACAGAGTCAGGCTCCACAGTTATTTCTGACACCAATCCAGAAGCAGCTTCATGAACAGTTGAGAGAGAAGTCCCAGAAGTTACAACAGGCCATTCTGCAGCAACAGGAGGAACTCCAACAGATAACTCGGCAGCTCGCTATGGCTCAGCAGGGAATTCTTCCACTCCCTGAGCTCCCCAGTCCAGGTGAGGCTTTAGCTTTAAGGCGTACCGACCCTCTGATAAGACAGATAACTTTCAAGGTAAAAAATATGAATACTACTCACCGTTTTCTTAATCAGAGTTTCCTAATTGAGACCTCTGAGTTGTCAAATCAATGAAATCTAACATAGGAAGGAAACATTACTTTCTATTTCTTTTGCCAATTTCTTTCTAATTGTTTTATTATATTTAACAATAAAGCATTTAAATCCAACTTCAAAAGCCTTATAAATTGATTAAGTTGTATCTTTTTAAGGACCATTTTTAAAATGGTTTAATGTTTTAAGTACAGAATTTTCACTAGTATGACATTTTTTTTAACATAAAGAAATATTTAGAAGAAAGATAACTCCTCCTTACAGATGTACTTTTTTCTTACAACCACATACAACACTTGTGATTTTCTGACTTAGGAAGCATCGCTTCATGATGTTTTCTAACATGATTTTAATAGGTATGATACTAAGTATTATTTTCATATGCACCTCATATTTTGCATTTAATGTTGTGATAATAAATCGTTACTCTTTCTGTTCTCTGTGTTGAAATTTCTTCATATCATGATCTGACATAAAAATCATTTCTGAAAAAATAAGCAGTGCTTCATACTTCAAACTATTTTCCATGTGGCTCTAATGTTATTGTTGTTTATGAAAATCAATATTACAAATTTTAAATTTTCTAAAGTGAAATTTGTAGCAGAGGGTCGGGACCCCTTAAGTAGTACAGATTTATCACACCCCACTGTTGATATCACTACACATCAAATTGTGTACTGTTGTCTGACTTTTGATCTTAACTTTTGTGATACAGAAACTTAAATGTATATTCAGTGAATTATGAATTTTCACATGTTTGACTTAAAATGAGAATATTTTTTTTCCAACTCCAAATTTGAATATAGTATAAGTATAGTAAACAATTATAAATGTGTTTTTGTCTTTTCAGGTACACCAGTGATTATGAATCCACCTGTAAGAGCAGCTGTGATAAATACCACCCCTGTAAACGCATCAGCAGGGTTCCCCTTACAGACCCCCGTATCTACGGCCCTGCCCCAGGAGCAGCCCCAGTTCAGTCTGTTTCAGTTGATGCCCCACGACACGGAGACTGTTTTCTCCTACACGTCAGACTGAGAGTCGATCTCAGGACAGTCTGACGTCATAGACTCTCCTCTCGGAGACCTGCCATTGTACTCATGTCATTATTTAATGTATTAACTGTTATGAAGCATTTAGGGACAATCTACTGCCCAGACTGTTTTATGTTGAAGCATCTTTATATGGACTTCTTGTATAATGATTGTACTTTGGTGTATTGTGTAGTACATGTGTATAATTTATTTTTGAAAAAATGGTAAATTAATCATGAAAACGTGATTTTTCCACTGTAAAATTTTACATGGAAAAAATAGGTGATTAAGACATTTGAAGTATTTAAATGCCTTTCTTAATTGAATTTAAGGCCTAAAGCTTTACAAAACTCACTACCAGTACCAATGTACAAATTACATATACATTGTACTGGTCTTTCACTGGTTTTACTACACAAGTTTTGTACAAGATTTTTAAACAATTTTTTTAGACTGTGCACGGTTTATATTACAGTGAGTTTGTGATGACACTGTGTAGAATTTTATATCTGATAGCATAGTCCCTCTTTGAACATCTCATTAATGCAGTCACATGATGTATGTTCTCTATACATTCCTATCCCTTTGTTGAGAGCTGTGAGAGTATGTGATTACGTTCCTGGTTGTGTTATTTGTTATCCATCAGTTATTGGCCATCACTGTCTCTTCATCACTAAGTTTTATAACTGACCTTCCATGACCCGAGGGATGTTGTACATTATTTGGTAGGACCTGTATAAAGTGTTCCTGGTCTCTACCACTTGACAAGTTTTAAAGCAGAGGTTCAGAGGTTGAACATTTCGACTTTCATTTCAACTTTACCATTTACTGCTAATCTTTTGTACATAAGTACTATTGGGGAAAGGGTACTTTATTCTGAGGGGAGGTAATCCATACACAATAGGGTTTTTTCTATAATAACTGTACTTTGATATTTGACTTTCCTTAACAGTGTATAATTTTGTTCATTAAGCAGAAAGGAACAGACAAAATAGGTCATATCTGTGGCTCTGAGTCTGTTTTACACATTTTAGGATGACCTTGTAACAAAAAAATCAGCTGTTTGTTGACCTTTACAATATTTTTTAGCTCACCTGAGCCGAAGGCTCAAGTGAGCTTTTCTGATCAAAATTTGTCCGTTTTCTGTCGTTGTCGTTGTTGTCGTCGTAAACTTTTCACATTTTCATCTTCTTCTCAAGAACCACTGGGCCAATTTCAACCAAACTTGGCACAAAGTATCCTTGGGTGAAGGGGATTCAAGTTTGTTCAAATGAAGGGCCACGCCCTTTTCCAAGGGGAGATAATCATGAATTTGTTAAAAATTAATGGCATTTTTAAAAAATCTTCTTCTCCAGAACCGCTGGGCCAGGAAAGATGAAACTCATGTGGAAGCAACCTCAGGTAGTGTAGATTCAAGTTTGTTCAAATCATGACCCCCCGGGGCAAGGGTGGGGCCAAAATGGCCGACCCAAGTTTTACATAGGAATATATAGGAAAAATCTTTAAAAATCTTCTTCTCCAGAACCACTGGGCCAGGAAAGATGAAACTCAGGTGGAATCATCCTCAGGTAGTGTAGATTCAAGTTTGTTCAAATCATGACCCCCGGGGCAAGGGTGGGGCCAAAATGGCCGACCCTAGTTTTACATAGGAATATATAGGAAAAATCTTTAAAAATCTTTTTCTCCAGAACCGCTGGGCCAGGAAAGATGAAACTCATGTGGAAGCAACCTCAGGTAGTGTAGATTCAAGTTTGTGCAAATCATGACCCCCGGGGCAAGGGTGGGGCCAAAATGGCCGACCCAAGTTTTACATAGGAATATATAGGAAAAATCTTTAAAAATCTTCTTCTCAAGAACCACTGGGCCAGGAAAGATGAAATTCATGTGGAATCATCCTCAGGTAGAGCAGATTTAAGTTTGTTCAAATCATGACCCCCGACTAGGGTGGGGCCAAAATGGCCGACCCAAGTTTTATATAGGAATATATAGGAAAAATCTTTAAAAATCTTCTTCTCCAGAACCACTGGGCCAGGAAAGATAAAACTCATGTGGAAACTTCCTCAGGTAGAGCAGATTTAAGTTTGTTCAAATCATGACCCCCGGGGCTAGGGTGGGGCCAAAATGGCCGACCCAAGTTTTACATAGGGATATATAGGGAAACCTTTTAAAATCTTCTTTACAAGTACTTCAAAGCTATGATTAGTGATATTTACATGGAATCATCCTCAGGTAGTGTGGATTCTAGTTTGTTCAAATGATGAACGCCTGGAGGGGGGGTGGGGGTGGGAGTAAATTCAAGCCTGATGTGCTCAGGTGAGGGCTGTGGCCCCTGGGCCTCTTGTTCCACTTCTTGTCATATACACAATCATTGCAGCAAAAATTATTTGTCATTGAATCTTTTTTTAATTGTTTTGCTTTATGAGATTACCAAATATTAAATTGAAAGAACTCTTAATTAGCATCTATTGGTACTGAAAATATTTCCTATCTATTTCTTATATTACTTTTAATTGTATGGTTGATACGACTCTTGGAAGCAATGCCAAGTAAATTCTTCTCAGCAAAATCTGTGTTCATGTAGAAGTTTTTTTTATAAAGCATCTTTGCAAGTAACCTTGTCCTTGAATCAAACTGTGCAACATCCTTAGAAAAAAAAAATATACATTTTATGTTTAATATAGAAATCATCATATGCTTTTTAAAGCAGATATCATAAACTGTTATAGATGTATGTGTGTATACTAATAAGAAATCATAGGTTTATTATCAAGTACAAAAAAATACAAGATTAAATGATGATTTTTAATGATGATCTGTATAAAACACTAAGAATATTGTAGATCAGGAAAGCAGCTACTAATTTAGTGTGTACCTTTACTAATTTGCTCTTCAGTAGACCATTTCAAACTTGTCAATTATTTAGCAATTTCAGGGTTTCAAGGAAAAGTAATATAGCATAGGGTACTTATTTTTAACATTTGATAGGAGGATAAAAGTTAATATCTGAATAATGTCTAGCCAACTTTAGTCACATGTACTTTATGGATAAATTCAGTTTCTAAAAAATCTTATTTCCTTGCATTAAAAATCTTGACTCACTGTTTAATAATATATATGACGTACTTGAGAGACAAGAGAGGTGGAAAAGAGAGAGAAACCTCTCTTGGTCAACGAATCCAATTTTTGTGGCGTGATTTGATTGTTATAATGGTGCAATAATGCATTTGAATGATAGATTAATATATATTTATAAATATATATAGATGTTGATTACATTGTTGTTGATATTAAATGTGCACTTGTATTATAGTGTGTTCTTTTTTTCTGATGAAACATTATTCCTAGCATAAAAGCCATAAAGTAGAAATTTGGACATAATATAATATGTACAACATTTTAATCAAATGTGGATTCTCAACAAAAAATTAAAGAAGTTCAGAAAATTTGAAAATTGCAAAACCTTTCAAAAATTAGTAGCATTTTAACAGATTACAGCAAAACTCGGTTATAACGAAGTCACTGGGACCTATGAAAATACTTCGCTAATTTGTTATATCCGTATAAGAAATTGTTAAATTTATAAAGCTGGGGATCCAAGATAACTTGGCTATATCCTTGAATTTGCAATATCCATGTTCATACTAAATGAGTTTTACTGTACTTTTGAATGCTTTATAATAATGTACCGGTATATATATCTCACAATAATTGAAGAGCAGGTATTTTGATATCAAGACAGATTCTTCAATCAGAATTGACCTTGTAAATGTTTATATCTTGTGACTTGTTATCTGCAACAATTTTCTTAAAAATCTTCCTGATTCTACACACAAGTACCCTGAAGTTGATGCTAGAGTTCCTCATTAACAATTTGGCTTTGGTCTTCCAACAAGCTTTTGGACTTCAAATTGAACACTTACTGTGTCCCATTATTAGACTGTAAATGTATGAAGCAGATTTTATGGAAAAAGTTCTACATGAGAAGAGGAAAATGCTATCAATTATTTTTTTCCATATATTAACAGAGTTCTATTGACTTAAATTATACTAAAAGATAACATTTAATTTATTTGAATTACATGTAATTAATAAAAAATTAGGAACCTGCATAAAAGTTTTTTTTTCCCCTTAAAGAAGTAATGTTATTTAAATGCTGAGTTGTTATATAAGTTGGCTGGGTTTTTTTATTCTCAGAAAACTTTTTAAAGTCCAAATATCTTTATATTTTAATTAAAGTACTGAATTAAAACATTCTAATTTAGTTTTCTGAACTTAGCAAAAAATACACCATATATGACTTTAAGGTAGACATTTACTAAGTAGATTAAAAACTGTCCGTTTAATTTGAAAAAATCCTTAGTGTCAAGGAGTATCATGTTGTTCTTTTATGTAGAAAATTTTGAGACAGGTGTTCGAGAGAGTAATGAACGACAACTCTGTATGGGAGATTGATAAAGCTCTAGCTCTTCAGTCTCAGAAGATAGTAAAGGTTGCAATTTCGTAAACAATCATACAATCATGGCACAACCGGTAACACGGTCACAGGTTTGTAATATGCAGTATAATATAGCAGGAGATCACAGTAAAAATCGCAGTATTAACCATTCAACGTTCCTTTCTTTTAACTAATTGAAATTGCGAAAATTAATTTATAATTGATACAACAGCCTATTGAAAACCATAGTCGTGTAAGAGCTATAAGACGAAGAGGTCAGGTGAAAAAAATGTTACTTAACGAGAATTTCCTCGAAAAGATTTTTTTTAAAATAGAATCTTGAACATTAACCAGTAAATTACAACTTTCACGTTGTTTATTGTATCCAGTTTTTTGGTCACAATGACGTTTGTCAGTAAATACACTGAATTGTCCATGGATTTTTCCCAATCATGACAAGGAGCACAGGTATGCTCACTCCTCTAAGGCACCTGATCCCACCCCTGATGTTTTAGAGGTCCTTGTTTGCTCACAGGGGCTTGTCACGAAATATTTATCTTCTTTTAATAAAGTTACCCCTACTATAAAAATACACAAGGGAGGAATCTAAAAATAGGAAATTCGCTACCACAAATTTTGACAGGACTTTCTATCTTGTTTCTGGGCGACTTTCGTTGCGGACCAATTAGGAGTGAGTGGAGTATAGATTCAATTTTAATATTCTTCAGTCAAATTCTAATCAACGCGTACCGTTAGTTATATAACTAACCTCTTTTCTCGATATTTGGATCTGGCGACAGTTCTTTCCATATGAATTTCCGGCGTAAATTGAATGCAGGGCTCTGATTGGTTGTTTTCTGTAAATAACTCATACACAAAGTAGCTCTTTAATTTAGTGCACTAAAACGGAGGGAAAATCAAACTGTCGTGATGGCATTGAACAATACAGCTGTGGTTTCATTGTACGTATTTTACTATATTTGGTTATATTTATTTATATAAACATGTTAAATATCCTTCACTAAGCATGTCAATCCTTACTGTTTATATTTTGTGTACGAGTTATCTACTGTTGTAAAGAATGAACTTTCGTACGACTTACTTAAGGACTTTCCCGATTCTAAATATAGATGATCAGAGACTTTCTTCCCGCCAGCCCGTGCAGAACTTTTGCCTACTGTATCTGTATATTTGTACTTGTATTGTTTACCTGTGCTTACAGAATATATTCTAAAGTAAGTAAAGGTGTATTTTTTTCTATATTGGCGTCGCCGGTAACAGAACTAAACGCTCGTTGACTGATAACTTGTGAGTTAGTTCAAATTTCGTGCGTAGTCACTGTAGAATTTTGAGCAGGTTTCACGATTTAATATTGTGAAAATTGCTTGTTACTTCAGAGGTTCTACAACAGCTGAAAACGAAATAAGCAGTATATTTTGAATTAATTTGAATTGTTTACATTTTTCACACGATACACTTGCACTCGTGAAAAATTATAGTCGACAATTTGTCATTGTTATTTATGGCAGTAACATATTGTTGATTAATTGAGAAAGTGTATGTGCTAGGACTTTCAGGAATCCCCGGAAAATATTATTTTGGAATTGTGTGGAAATTAGTGAATTCAAAATGGCAACTGGCAATGAAAATGGTGAGAAAACAACAAAGGTTAAAATTAATTATGCAAATGTAGAAGAATTGAAAACATTACCATCAGTGGGTGAAGCAACAGCTCAAAACATTGTGTATTTCAGAGCTGTTAATGGTAACATCACACCTGAAAATTTGGTCACCATTAAATTTGTAAAAGAGAGCAAAGAATTGTCACAAATGATAGATTTTGAACCGAATTCAAGTTTGGTAAAAAGTGATGATGGTGATGTCGAGAATGAAACAATTGAAACTGAGTCCTCACCAGTTCATCAACCAGAACAAACAAAACAAATAATTGACAATGTTGAAAACTTGCTGAATGCAAAAAATGAAATAGCAAATGAAAAATTAGGTGTTAAGAAAGACATTCAGTCTGTATCTGGGGTAAAATTAGAAACACTTGACCTTGAACAAGCCCAGCTCATTGGTCTTCAAGTTGATAAATCAAAGGGAGCTGTCCTGAAAAACAAAGGTAAGCCTGTGTCAAGTCAACCAACTACTGGTCACCTTGTAACAAGCCAACCTAGTACATTTAATTTACCTGTGTTAAGTCAACCTTCATCAGGTCATGGTCAGTCAATAGTAGGTCAACCTTCATTAGGTCAGCCTATTCCAGCTCAAGGTATGCAAGGCTTGTCTATGTCACAGCAGCCTATGCAAGGTCAATCAATATATAGTCAAACTATGTCATGTCAACCAATGTCAACTCAAATAGGTCAGCCTATCCCAGCTCAAGGTATGCAAGGCTTGTCTATGTCACAGCAGCCTATGCAAGGTCAATCAATATACAGTCAAACTATGTCGTGTCAACCAATGTCAACTCAAATGACACCTGGTCAACCTATATTTGCACAACCAATGTCGACCCACTCAGTGCAAGGTCAACCTTTACATGGTCAACCTATCAGTACTCAAACAATGTCCACCCCCTCAGTACAAGGTCAACCTTTATTAGGTCAACCTATGCAGAATACATATGCAGACAAGAACATGCAAGGTCACATGTACATGCAGGGTCAGCCTATTCCAAGTCACCCTGTTCAAGGATCTTTATGGTCGGGTCAACCAACATTGATTCAATCCAGTCAAGGTGGGATTATGCCATATCAGTATACCGTACCCATGGCAACTCCACACAGTCCGCAAGGTATGTTTCCATCTCAGTACCCTAATGTACCATATCAGGCAATGAACCAGCAGTATTCTCCATCTATGCCTCCAGTGTCACAAGTATATGCTAACCAATGGATGCCATTTGGTGGGATGCCGTTTTCGGTGCCCCCACCAAGCATTCCACAAGTAAGTCAGTTTCAAGGTTATGGTTACCCATGGCAACAAAATCCAGGTAATCAAATGCAACCAAACTTTGGGAGCATGGTACAACAAAATCCAGGTAATCAAATGCAACCAAACCTTGGGAGCGTGGTACAACAAAATCCAGGTAATCAAATGCAACCAAACCTTGGGATCATGGTACAACAAACTCCGGGTAATCAAGGGCAACAATACTGTGGTAATATGGTGCAACAGACTCAAGAAAATAATCAACAGCCTCCAACAGGTAATCAGTTATTGCAAACGCAACCTCAAATAAATAATCAACAACCTATCAATCAAGGTCAACAACTGGCGGTTAACCAACCTGCTCCAATAGTAAATCAACCTGTGGCACCCCAGAGAAACAGAGGAGGACAGAATCGTCAGGTAGATGATAACCCTCCCAAGGGACTGAAGTATGATGGAAAAGATAATTGGTTAGGATTTAAGCACAAATTCATGAGATATTACCAAGTAAAGAACTGGACACCAGAAATCGCAAAGGATTATTTGTGTTGGTGCCTCGAAGGTAAAGCTAGTGAATTTTATGCTTCGATTGTAGCCAGAAATCAAGCTATTGGTTTTCCAGAAATCCTTAACAAGTTGGAGAAAAGGTTTGGTGGAGTACCATTACCAGACACAGCACAAGTACAATTAGCAAACTCTAAACAGAAGCCTGAGGAATCTATAGAGGACTGGGCAGACAGAGTAATGCGATTGTCTATACGTGCATTCCCTGAGTTACCAGAAGAGTACATGTACCAACAAGCTGTGAAAAGAATTTGTCATGGATGTGTTGATAAGGAAGCAGGTCAGTATGTCGTGAATCTAAATTTAGATTCCGTAGAACAAGTTATAGATAAAATCAAAAGCTTCCAGTTCAATCACCAGAGCATCTATGACAAGCCTAAAAAAGAGGTACGTGAGATATACATTTCTTCAGACCATGCAAGTTCAAGTGAAGATGAGATGTCTACTGTCAAAGTAAGAAGATCAAAACAACTAAAGCCTTCTAGTAATGAAGAAAAACAGAAAGTGGATACCCAGCTGAACGAACTCTCAAAGCACATGGGTGATATCAAAGATGGCATTTTCACATTACTCCGTCATCTAGAGAAAATACAACCACAGTCGACAAACGTCTCATCAAAGAAACCAGTGAGAAGTAGATCCCCATCACCCAATAATGGTAGATGTTTCCACTGCAATGGTCTAGGACACTTTGCGAAAGACTGTCCACAGAAGAATACAGAAAACAAACCTGCTAAGCATGTATCCTTTTCGTCAACTTTAAACGAGAAGGGATCAGGCCAGTAGGCCTTAACCTGGTCCATAGGGATGACGGCCTGCAGTACACAGAAACACCTTTAATCATTCGACAGCTGAAATCAAAGTCATCAATTATGATTCCCGTAACTATACATGGAATTGATGTTGAAGGAATTATAGATACAGCTTCAGAAGTTACCATCATATCTGACAAGGTATACAATTCATTACCAGATAGACCAGGCGTGGTGAAGAATATTACCTTGCATGCTGCAGGAAGAGATATGTCCATGGAAGGATATTTGATTGAACCTACAACTGTAGAAATGAAAGGACTTCAATTCAATGAAAGCGTATATGTTGCTCCTATTGAGGATGCCATGCTTATTGGATTGGATTTCATGTCGAAGTACCAAGTTGAAATTGACATGAAACAGAGTTTATTCTGTGTACAAGATCAAAGAATTCCTTTTATTGAAAACAAGGGTAACTCTGTCCAAGCTATTACTCAGGTAAGAATTGCAAGATGTACTGTAATTCCACCAAGGTCTGTCTTAAGAATACAATGTAGTACAGATCATCCCTTAGAATCAGCTTGCTATCTTGTAGAACCTGACGTCAAATTATTACTTGCTCCTCGTGTATGTATCGTGGGTGCAAGTGTTCCTATGATGTCATTTGTCAACTTGTCTGATAGTAAAATAACGCTGTTTAGGAATCAGAAGGTTGGTATGGTTTATGAGATAGATGAGATATTTCCAGTTGGAGTGAGTGACCAGAAAAATACTTTTCAAACAGCACAGATAAAAACTACAGAAAATAAAGAACTCCCGGAATACCTAGAAGGCATGTATCAAAGTTCCTGTTCAGA